TTAATAAAGTCATATGAAACAAAATCCTGTAATATAGCACATATTCCACACTAAACAAATTGGCAGCAGCGGCTGCTATGCATCATGAGCAATCCTGTGATAAAACAAATAGATCTGCTTTGGCCCTACCATAAAATTAATCAATAATAATATCTGAGCTAATGAAACAGCCACTTGTAAAAATCAGTGTTGCCCATCAGCTTTTATAAAACATGATTAATTTCTATGCATTAAATTGTATTACTGAGGAGGGAAATCATTAAGCATTTTTCAGTTACCCCTTGTTGATGGTAATAAGAAAAGGATTGCTGTTTCTGAAGCTGCTCCACTCCATGAAATCTTTTAAAATCTAATTACTAGGATGGGGAAGGAATATTCAAATCACTCATAAACCTTCCTTTGCATATTACTGCTATTCTTCTCACAGGCACTAGGGAGTCTTTATAAACAGCAGAAATCAAGTCTTTGCTAAAAAATAGTTACACACACTCTCAAATGCCTTGCATGATGGATGGCAGAATTCACGGGCATTCAGGTTTACATTCACTGCAGTTGACTCAAATGATCTCCTGATAAAGGAAAAGTGTGATATCAGTGGTCTAGCACTGTCAAGCCCACAGAGGAAGGATGCCAGCAAGTACTGCTCCACAGTTAGCTCAGAATTATTAAAAAAGAGGTTGAAAAAGTTGGAAACAATAACAATTTTGTCTCTGTGACTCCTCTTTTCTAAGGAGGGCATGGGCATGGAAAGCAGTGGGGGGGAAAGTATGTCTAAGTAGGGAGTTAAAAAAGAAAAAAGGGCCCTGGTAGGGCAGTCAGAAAGACACATGGATTCAAATAGTTTTCCTTCTTTGAAACCTAAAGAAAACCTGTATATGCTGAGCCTGAGCTGAAGAGACAATTACACCCGCAATTGCCAAAGAAAATCTGCCAAATGCTGGGTAAGATAACCTGCTCCTTTCTTATTTCTAAAATCTGGCTTCCAGTAAAATCCCTCCCTCAAGGCACGGTAGATGATCCAGCAAGGCTGTGGAGAGTGGCTGGAGCTGTGATATTCAGCCACAGCCTCAGTATTCAGCATGGCCAGGGGCTGGCCCAGGACTGAGCCAAGAGGCAGGTAGCCGAGCAGGGCTGACTCAAGGAGATGCGGGAAGCAATGGAATTCCATCCGAGACACATGGATCCACAGCACTTCACGCTCTACACTATTTTGCAGCAAAGATATCCCAAGATCCTTACAGTGATTGCTATATATTTTTATCCCCAATTTAGGCATAGGAAAACAAGGCCAGAAAGGTTAAATGCGTTTGTCAATAAAGTGTTCCCAGTGGCAGAACAGGAAAAGACATCACAAGTGAAATCTTCATCTTGCTAAAATCCATGAGGTTTGCTGCTATCTTCACCAGACTCATGCTTTCACAAGAAACTGTTCCCCTTTTCACACTTTTTCTCAGCTATTTATGCCTTCCATCTTAAAAGTTACAAAACAACAGCAGAACCTAAACTTCATCTCTGAAAATTAATTTATGTTAAATCATGAATTAATCTCATCAAAAAAATGGGAGTGTGATTATTGCTAGCCTCAAGTATCCTAGGAGTTTGTTTAAAGACAAAAGATACTAGGAAACATTATTTTTCACTATGAACATTGAGACACTTAGTATGCATGTATAACTTGTAGAATAAATCAACATAGCTTTCCCTGGGAGCCTATAATAGAGGTTTACCTGCTAAGAGGGTGAGTCAGGCATTCCTCACCAGGACGGACATATAGCCACTTATGTGGACATGGGTGAAAAGTCTCAGCGAGTAATCCCTGGCCCCAGAAAGATTTGCTTTCTAAGGTGCACCTTGCTTTTCTTATTTGGGCCCCTCATACGTATTTGCTCTCAGGTAGAGGAGGTTGGTTAGCAGGTATTCAGCTCCTTCTTTGGTCCCAGACTTAAATTATCAGGAAAAGGCAATGCAGCTGTCCAGGATGGTTCAGAAAGTATCACTATCCCTGAATTTTCTACTTTCCCTTGTTAAGACTAGTAAGAAATTTCCTCTTAAGTAAGGCAATTAATATTTAGATCCATTCCCTTTAAATTAAAATGCTATCACAGAAACTAACATAGTTACACCTGAGTAGGTCAAAGAATGATCTGGAATGATTTTTTTTTTTTTTTTTTTAATTTCTAAGGCCATATTCTTTAAAAAAGCACATATAACTATGATTGTACAGCCCTCCTGATGGCAAGACTAATAACTGAAAAAATATAATTTTGCTGGTAAAAGGGCATTTGCACAAATGAAGCACAATCTCCACTGCTTTTAGCTATTTCTATACAACAGAAGGTTGTTTAAAACAAACTGGAAGTAATTTTACTGTCAGGAGGGAATGCGTCACCCTTTGGAAAACAAAAAATGAAGTGCATGGAGAAGATTATTGTAGCTAGCCTGTTTTTTGTAGGTCAGGTCTTTGTATTGCAGACAGATTTCTCTGCAGGGATGGCTTCTGAACTTTTCAGTGCCGGCAGGTGCACGGTTTTCTCTTTCTATTAAAATACCCAGAAATTTGTGAATCCTATCCAATACTCAAGGGGTCCTATTTCCAAAGCACCTGAACAACTATTCTAGTGCAAAATTCATACATTTGCAGTCAAACTCTCCTCCCCATTGAGTATGTTGTCTTCATCTTCCTTTTTAACAGCTTCAGTAACAGATTTTATATTAGCCTTATTTTGGTGGGGAATGTGGAATTGTAATGAAAACTTTTGCTGTTACAACTCCAGTTAATAGTATGACACCACTATGAATTTTTTCTCATGCTATACACTAACAACTAAAATTGCATTGTTTTAACTTTGTTAGCATAGGCATAGCAATGCAAAAGGTAGCACAGAGAAGCAAACAAACAAAATACTGCAGCTATGTACTGAGCAACACTTGAGGAATTTATCTTATTTCATATGCATATGTCAAATAGATGCCAAATCCTTAACTTATGTAAATCAACTGGTATCATTTTATAATCTAACCCTCACTGAAGCTTCATGTGCAAACACGTAGGCTGTAGAACTCTCTGAGGAAAGCCCATGGCAGGGTAGCTGCAGTACTCTCAGTTGTTCACAGTGCAGCTAATTCTAATCTATACTTTCCTTCAGTCAAATTATCATGCTAGCAGAGGTGCTCATTTCCCATGTTTGAGACAGAAGCAGGCCAGCAGCTGTGCAGAATTCAATGACCAGCGCTCCTATAAATAAGTCCTATTCTCTGCAAAATGAAGGCCTCAGATATTTTGTCCTTCTGGCTGCTGCTTATGCAGAGACAAGCCAAGAACTGGAGCCTCAACCACTCCATGATTTCTTTCAACTTTTCACTTACCTCATAACCACATCTATGCCTTTCCTTCAGCAGTAAGCCCCTTCACCCATGTGCCATCCCTCTCTTCTTTATACTGAACACTGAGCAGGATGAAGCACCATGAGAAGGAAACCTTTCCCTTCAAATCCTCTCTGCAGGATCAAAGGTAACTGGGGGGAGGAGGCTTGGAGTGACTGCTCTTTGTATTACCCATATACACATGTAACTTACTGTCCTACTGAAGGACAGGTTTTTCGCACTGTATGACCCACAGGATCTACATATGAAAATATGATAATATTGTATGCATGTATGCAACAATCATTCTCTTTCTTGCCAGACTGTGCTGTACTTATCTAATTATATACACTGTAAGATTTTATTTTAGACCAAATATTATGAAATTTTCTCTTCCCTTATGTGGGTCTATAGAACTCAAGCCAACATATTGATGAAAGTATTGTACAGCAATTAATCTAATACAATGTTTGAGACTATGATTGGTCTCCAATGTTTTCACGGTTTTCTTCTGCATTTTAAAGACCACCATCTCAGTTGTATTTTATTCTTGATGGCTTCTTATTTAAACAATGTTTAAAACAAAGCTTGGGCTTAAATATCTTGAAGACAATAGATTTTGTTCTACCAGATATTATTTTTCTGTAAGTATTTAACACAGTTAGAACTAACAGAGCAGGATTACCAAACTATGGTATTCAATTCATCAATTTCATAGTGATAATCATCATAACATTTCAAAGCAACAAATATCTAGGGAAGATCTTGGAGCAGCTGTTGGTGATACCTACCAGAAAGAACACCTAATAGGACGAGCAATACAGCACACAACCACCATTGTCAAAGGTGGCACATGGCAAGCAAAGTTAATTCCTTCTCTAGAATGCATAATCAGATACTGTGCAATCATATTTGTTTCAAGTCATAGGAGGTATTGCTCTGCAAACTTCTAGCCTGCTATTCGTTATTAGAAAAGCAACACTGCTGCTCCCCAAGCCCTTAGTTTGAAATTTAATATAATAAAATAAAACTATGTAGGTATTTGAATAATATACATGTAGGTATAGGAATACATATACATTCTTCCAACTTGTTCTGAAACATCTGCATGTTTGTTGTATGCAATGGGACTGACAGATCAATATAGAAATATGTCTGCACTTGTTTGAAGAATACACACTGCTTCAACACTACTCTGTCACCAATAAGGAAATCCTCACATAAGAAAGAATATAAATATTACCCTCCATTTTTTTATCAGATTTCTGGGCTTAATAAGTAAAATACCTCCCCCTTTCCAAATTAAGACTAGCTTAGGAATAAGAGCCAATAAGATAATTTTGTTTCCTTTAATATATTTCCAAAATAATAGATAATTTATTTCATGAGAGATACTTCCACACTTAGCATTATCACACTTTTTCCAGGGATCAAAATGGTCACCATCATCTTAACATTTTGCTAACTTAATTTCTAAATAAAATCCTTCTACCATTTTTTACTTTAAGGGGAATTGCTACCATCTACTAGGTTACATAAGAGACAAAGTATGGTTAAAATTTGCTATGAACCTTTGTGTAAGGCCTTTAATATGAGCCTCCATTTGCACAAGTCAAGAACATATTGAAAACACTTACCTGGAATCGATAAAAGGTGCCATCATCCTTTAGTGTTAGAACATGGTCTGAGATTGGAAAGAAATAGCCATGTGCTGCCATCAGTGTTCCCAAGTGTAGAGCTTCCACTGTTTGAAGAACAAAAGAAAGATAAATTTGAAAAATTACATACCTTCTTTTCAGCAGTTTAGTTTTTGTGTTCAGATCCACCTTATATCCTGCAGATAACCACTTGACTCCCAAAGTCCTGCCATCGTGAAAGTGCTGCCTTTTTCTATGTAATATAACGATGCAACCAAAAAACCCCCTTTACTCTCCTTACCGAATGGCTATTAGATGTCCCATTTCTCGCTGCAGTTCTCACTGCAGTACTTATATCAGCATTAGCAGGTAGCTACTGCAATGTTCAATCACTTGTTTTGAAGCTGAAAACAGGTATCATTTTTACCCTGATGGTGCAGCCTGCTTTTCCTCTTCTGAACAGTTTCAGATTACATGATGTTGAAATAGTTGATTCCAACTGCATATCTTCCTCACTAGCTTCATCTGAACTACAGTAAAGGATAGATATTTCCTAAAAGTTTCTTATTACTGGGAGAAAACCAAAGGATCACAGAATCACAGAGGGGTTGAAAGAGAAGAAAGGAAGAAGAACATCATTTGTTAGAGTCATGCTTTTGTTGCAGCATTTAAGTCCTGCTGTCTCTTTGCTACATGTCTTTACCAACCTTGTAACAACTCCAGTACATATCCCTAAAACAGCTGCACAGCAATTTCTGCTGTAACATCAAAAATTTCCTAGCATAACCTGCTAACACCAGTCCACAACCACTGAAGCATCCTAATTTTAAAAGATGTGCCCTGGAAGGGAGCACAAAGGTTTCTGAGATATATGATAATGCCACCAGTTACAGGAGCTGGTGTTAGAGAGGACAACACTGCTGCAGGAAAACATCAGGGTCGAGAAAAGGAAAAAGATCAATACAAAGGCCATATTGGACACGTAGGGAGTAAGGGGAAGGGGGGAAAGGGGAAGAAGAAAAAGGCAAAGAGAAGAAAGACAGAAACAGCCAGATTTTCTTAAAAAATTAGGGGTCTTTGATCTGAAATATAAATTCAGCATGAATCCAGAAAGTATGCAGAATCAGTAAGGTTGAATATTTGCACTCTGGAAAACATGTTACACCACCACAACATACAGAGATTCATATTCAACCTCTAAAAAGAGCTCATTTGTTCCCACTGCCTGTAATTCAGCTTTCAGCAATGGCAAGCATAAATGTTGCAGCACAGATCTGTCTTGCCCTGCCTCTTTAAAACATCACTGTGGCATCTGACCAAGCAGTCACAGCATTATCATGCAGAAAGAAATGCAAGTCCCAATATCTGTGTTCTTGCGAACAAACACAGAAAGAGGGATTCACTTATGCTTCACCCATTATCATTTTGGAAATGAGAAGGAAACGCAGGCTTATTTGTTTACCCGTACTTCATCGGCATGCCAGAAAATTCCCTCTTTCACCTTTTTGCTCATCTGGAGACATACATTGGTAAAGGAGATACAAGATGTGGATGGGACATTTTTAAGCTAACCCAAAGTCAGCAAACATGTGAAAGGAGTAAGAAAGGGGATCTGGACAGTACTTAACTGAGAGCACATAACCCTACCAGGGTTTATTTGATACCCAATAATCCTTGTGATCTCTGTGTTTAGCAGACTGGTTCCTGCCCCTCCAGCAGAGCCATTAGCTAAGAAAATCCAACACACTCTCTCTGGCAGTAAGCACTCTGGCCTGCTATAAAATGCCACAATGCTGTTAACAAGCCTTCTCCCAGTCACAAGCCTACAAGAAGTCTCTCTAACAGAAGGAAGGTAGTTGCTTTGCTCCTTGTGCTTGAGATGTCTGCAAATCCCCATCTGAACCTTATCCTAATAATGTAAGTCCATGTATCGTTGTTATTCATTTATTTCGAGCTACTAAATTCTATTATCCCTTGGATCAGAAATTTTGAGTCAACGCTTTCTGTATTGAGTCAGTTGCTGAGGTTCTTTTCATTTTGGTTCACTTCATCTACCTTTTAATTTTATTAAGCTTTTCTTTGTTCTTCACACTGCAACTTATTTCCAATTCCAAAACCTCTATTTTTGTGGGTATTATATATCTTTGTGGAATAAGAGAAAAACAAAGGAAGAAATGTGCTGACATTTTTTAGAGAAAGGATTTATTAGATAAGGGTGACAGGGCTTGCCAGGGAGCTCTGACGCAGACAAGAGCCCATTCTCTTCAAATTTAGCAGAAATTAAATAGGCCTCAGATTTGTTTAATGTTCTTCCTGGATTCTGAATTGTAATATTTTTCAAGAGCACAAGGAGCTCACATTATTCCCCTTTACCCACTGATCTTTGGACCACATCTTGACTACTCAGTCCAGTTGGGAATAATATGTCCACTCCAATACAAGAAAGACATCAACAAACTTGAGTGAGTCCAGTGGAGGGTCACCAAGATAGTTGGGGCTGGAGAACGCACCCTGTAAGGAGAGGCTGGGGGAGCTGGGTTTGCTCGGACTGAAAAAGAGAAGGTTTTGGGGGTGCCTAGCAGCACCCTTCTAATGCCTAAAAGGAGATTACCAAAGGAGGGAGCCAAGGTCTTTATAGAGTTGCGTGGCAATTTTTAAAAAAAAGAAGAGAGAGAGAGACAATGGTAATAAGCTGAACCAGGGATGGTTCTGACTTCATCACGCAGCAGAAGTGGCTGCTCAGAGAGGCTGTGCAGACTGCATCCTTGGAGGGTTTCAAGACCTGGATGGATAAAGTCCTGGGCAACATGTTTGCATGTTTGACCTTACAGTTCAGCCTGCTTTGAGCAAGGGGTTGGACTAGAGTCCTCCTGAGGTCCCTCTCAACCTGAGTTAAATTACAACTCTGACTCTAGGTCGGTCAAGCAGAAGTGGACCAAGGAGCAGAAAAAAGGGATGGACATAATTGGAGAAGAAATTGTTTGAAAGCTCCTGCCAGAGCAGCCTATAATCCTGGCAAGGTTGGTTACAGTAGGCGTAAGAGCTTATCTTTCTCTCACTACCCACTGAGTCATAGACGCAAGTATATAGTCACTACTAGTTCTCTGTGCAAAACATGGAATGAGCGATCTGTCCTTCTCCAGAAGCCAATTAAGGTTATTTAAGATCTGAATAATTCCTAATAGGAGCCTATATCTCTTCTTCAGTTATGTATGGAGATTAAGGTAGTTTTACTCTCACCTCAGGCAATCTCATTCAGCTAGGATGAACCTACACTAACTCAATGCAAGGGTATCTCTCTATCCCTTTAGCCATTAAGGGTTAATAGGGGCATATAAACTTGTCACATGTCTTCTTTTTTTCCTTCAGCTAATAGATAATTAATTGTCATTTTTTTTATGGCTATCAATCCAGCAACTTATTCCAGCATTGCATAAATACAAATACATAAATATACTTTTTTAATATCAACCTAAGAGCCACTGTAGCTCACACTTGGGAATGTGAGCAGTACCTGCTTTATGAAAAGAAAAAGAAAATGAAAAAGCCACACATGGTATAAGAATAAAGACATTCACTTGAAAGTCTAAAATCTTCTCAATTGGTAGTCATCTGACAATGAGGCAACTGCACAACCAAAGCGTTATCAATAATCTTTGCACAGAAATTGAATAACCTATAAATCAAATACAGCTCAAACAGGTGAACAACTACCACTAAATTTTAAACAGTAAATTATGTCCACAAAACTGTAACCCTGCCTCACACCAGACTGGTAGGGGACTAACTCTGCTGCTCTCTGCACAGCAGCAGTAGAACTTCTGCACAGAAAGAAAACACAGCTCTCAGGAGGTTTCTAATCTCCAAGCAAAAAGTTGCCCAGTGTATTACAGACACAACAAAGGCAACACTTTGATATACATCTCACTTTGCTAAAATCAGACTGAAAAATAAATACTGTAAGAAGCCAATGAAGTAGAACTGTAGGACTTAGAAAACAAAACCATGAGCTTGAAAAGGAAAATGTAGCCAGCAGCAGACTAGTCCTACATGCCTAAATGCCTAGAAGTTCAATTCAGACAGCTTCTGCATCCCCCAGCTATTCCTGCATGTAAAGTTAGGGGATTTTCACTTAAAGAAGCATGCTTCTTCTGGAAGAATGGCAGATGGAGATTAGGAACATCAAAAACTTCTATGAAGTGCATTAGTTAAAAAGAAATAAAGAAGCCTGAAAAAAATACTTTTAAATATAAAGGTTCCCAGGTAGAAAAAGTAATGTTTATACATGTTCAGAATACAAATTAAAAAAACTGGAGGAACATAGACTAAAAGCAAGAAAATACTGGGCTTTTAGATGGCAAGTGTGCAGAGACGCACACAGAAATGTGGTATCTACACAACTACTATTTCCCAATCTTCAGCCACTGTGTGTAGGAATATGCAATGTAAACTACATTCTTGGTTACACCCAGATAGCCTCACTGAGAATGCATAATTTGAATCACAGTTAACTGCTATGCAATGAATAAAAACCACAGCAAGAGCCATCATGCAAAAAATCTGAGGAGAAAAAGCTCATAGAGGTGTAACTGGTAGAACAGAGTAGACTTCAGCTTCCTCTGTTCTTCAGTAATTGTTTTGAAGACATCAATTATCTGAACTGAGGTTCCAGGTGTACTTCCTAGCAATGATATTACTGAAAAGCAGAACAGCATATTTGAGAAACAAATTTACCCAAACCACTATTTTAATTTTAACTTTTCATAGCTAAAAGAGGACAATGTTACAAGTTATAACAGCTAATGGAAAAAAAAACACCTCAGGTGAAAGACAGAAATACGTCTTTATGAGACTGCTGCATTTCAACAGGATATGAAATATTTTATATAAATTCAAAATGTTGTTGTGGGTGTAGTTTTGGTTCTTAATGTGTAAGCTGTTGGTGGGCTAAAAGCTCAGAAAAAGCTTAAAATTCCATGGTTCACTCTGCTGGTGAACTTTATTTAGCTGAGTGGGTGAAGCGAACAACACATGTACATAGATTGATTAGCAATCTTTTTTGTGAGAAGTAGTATTGCCCAGCCATCTGCTGTGCCATTACAAGGAG